TTTAATGACTTTATAAGTCATATCAACACCTTTCTTCCCAAGAACTCTCCAAAGGATATTTCATGGAAGCTTGTCATAAGCTTTTTCTAAATAAAAAAAAAAAATCATATGTAGAACCTCCTTATTATCTCTGAACTTCTCCATCAAACCTCTCAATAAATGTATAACTTTCATAGTAGACCTGCTCGGCATAAATCCAAATTGATCATAAGAAATCTTTGTAATACGTCTTAACCTATTTTCAATTACCCTCTCTCATATTTTAAAGTATGACACATCAACTTAATTCCTCTATAATTGGCAAACTTTTGTGCATTTCTTTATTCTTAAAAATGGGGACCAAAATACTCTTCTTCTACTCCCCAGACATCATTTTAGTTTTCAAAATAATTTTAAAGAGTTTAGTAAGCCAGGAAACTCCCAAATCTCCTAAATATTTCTACACTTAAATGAGGTTAAAATTGTAACACATTCTATTTAAAAAGCGGTTGAGAATATCCTGAAATTTTTTTTTAATTTCAATTGGTGTTAAAATTCTTAACTATATTATGAAGCGTATAAATGATTCATCCTTAGTCCAAAGTTCATGCAAACAAAATTCGAAAGCAAAATACTAAATCATCAGAACTTGTAAATTAAAATTTAAAGAGAACTTGTGCAAATTGCTTTCTGATTTTCACAATAATTTTTAAGAAAAAAACTGAAAAAGTAGAAGATATTTCTATGAAAGTTGCAGACTTGGTACATTTATAGTTAATGCAGGGGTCATAATTTTGTTTTATAAAGTATCGAATCTTGATGGAAAATGTAACCGTCGGAATTTCTTATTTTTATTTTGATTTCTGGCTTACTCGTCGATTATAATTTATTTTTCTATATGCGCGGTACCTGATGGCATTATAATACAATAATAAATCAATCATTTATTATAAAATTATTGACAAATTTCTTTACATTATTTTTCAACTTGCTCAATCTTTCCCCTAATAAAAATCTGTCCAGGTTAATTTTCATCGACTATACAGTTTATCTCTCTAAAGGCTCGAATTTTGTTTGTTTTTTGTCTGACCAGTGAATCAGTGAACGGCACGTTCAGATTTTAAATTAAGAAAATAATTCTCAAGAAGGAGAATCGTCTATAATTAGCGTTCACTACAATTTCCTTCATTGTTATTTGGTCTAGCATCACCAATTTAATGAACTCTTTCTCCATTATCTCCTTTCACATTGTGACAGAGCCACAATATGTGTAGCTGAGGCTGTGAAATTGACTCAAAAATCATAAATCGCTCGAAAGCCGAATTGAACCATTCGAGCCATGCTAAGAGCCAAGCTACAAGCCAAATTAAATGTTCAAATTTATTTCAATCCGATTTCGATCCACCCTCAGCTCGGATCAGGATTGAAATAAATTCTTTTGTATTTACATATTTAGCACCCAAACTTTTAGTTTTACATGCATGATGCAATGTTAGCTTGGTTGGTGAGATTTTTGGCTTGAGTGGGCTGGCAGAGGTTCGAATCTCTTCTTTTCACAAATTTTTTTTTTTTTTTTTCTGGTCGGCTGGCATTGCGGCCCAAAGCAGGTTCAAGCTGGAGTGAACTGGCTAATGAGCCAAAAATGGCATTCAAGTCAGCTTGTTTACAATTTGTGCCGACTTATAAATCAGATTGATTTACACCAGATCAGTTCAAATTTAATAGGTTCGATCAATGATCCAATTAAGTAAACTTTCGATTCTATTTTGTGCTGGCCTTGAATCGGATTGTTCACACCACTATGTGTAGCGTTAGTGCCCCAACACTAAGACCTCCTGAACTCACTTGTCAATTGAATACCTTCAAGAAACAGAGAGATCGAAGTCCTTGCTCTTTTCATTGTGCTCACAAATGATAATGAAGGCATATCAGTAACTTTTCAAGATTAGACGGGTTCTCCTTAAAACCATGAAATATCTTTTTACATAATTAAATATATATACATAAATATAAATATGTATAGACACACACACAAAGACATACCAACACGTTTTATAATTAATTAATGATCATATTAATTAACATGTTTGAAAAAATTATAACATATAATCATTTTGTGTGTTTCATCAATTACAATAACAACAATAAGTTTTTATCCCACTAAGTGAGGTTGGCAACATGAATCTTTTTTTCTCCAATGTGCATTTTATCAATTGTTTCAATAAAATTATTTTGGCACCATGCATCCTCTTTTAGTATGTTAATATAATATGAAATGCTATGGTTTGAGGTTCCATACTTATCTTATCCTTACAAAGCCAGCCATGCAATTCACTACTTTTCATTTAGTACTTATGGTCTGCATCTAACTCATTGCTCAACCATCAATGCTCATATGAATTGTCCACCATTACATATTGAGGTTTGGTGGGCACATACGCAAATATAAATCTGTAGATTTTCACAGATTTGCATTATTTGAAAAGATATGTTGTCATAAACATATATAAAGTTCTTTCAGATTGAAGTTAAAGATGTTAATAAGCTCATCAAGTCAAAGATTACTTTTCTTTCATCCGAACTTTGATGCTCGGATGAGATTTGACTTTTTTTATAATAAATTTTAAACAGAAAAAGTTATTAAATGATTGTAAATTAAAACAAAAAACTAAGATGTAATTTAATCTTAAATTAAAAATAACATATTTCTGTGTTGAATCTAAAATTTTAACTGTTTTCGGATTTGAATCCACTTCGTGAAGTTAATTTTTTGTGTGCATATTCAATCTAATTTGAATGAAGTTTGAAAATCATAATATTTTTTTGTTATTAAAATCACTTTAAATTTAGGATTTTAACATAGCTTGTAGTATAAATAAAAATATGGTATGTAGTTAGGACACCAAGTCTGAAAATTTTAACCTTAGCTTGCCTATGAAAAGGAAAAATTAGAGAAATATAATGGTAGCTTATTTTCTATTTAGACAATATGCTCAAAATATATATTTTAGATCAAAATATCCTTATTTTGAGTGTAAATATTTGAATTCCCTTTCAAACAACATAAGTTGGCACAAGGTTTGAAAAAGCTTTGAGCGAGATTTAACCAAAGTTATAATTATATACGAGAAAAATTAAAAATAGTTCAAAATAATATTCAAATCTTATTTCAATCTTTTTGAAACCCTATGTTATAATTTGGAGATGGATTTGTACATGGATCAAACTAGTCTAAGAAAAAGGTTCAAACAATGCTAAAGAGGGTTCAAACATGATTCAATAGGTTTTCAAAAAGGCGTCAAATAGAACTAACAAACTCGGTCATAGTTTGAATCTATTTAAATAGGGTAGAAAAAAATAGAGTATATATGCTAAAGTTACATTAAATATACTATAACAAATCATAAGGGTAACACAAAAACTCCTTTTATTTTATCAAAAATCTCCAAGATATTTTATTTTTAATTTTGATTGGATAATTACTTTCAATATATGCAGTTAATCATGCTTTGTGCATATAAATTTTTATTATAACTGAAATGCCAATTTTGAGCTATAACTAAAACATGTCGGTTTTGGAGACTCATAATGTTTAACTTCTTATGTGTATGTCTTTGATAAACCATATCACCATTAAACTCACCACCAGTGTACATCAAGAATGTGCCAGTATGAAGAGGATCCAATGGCCTAGAAAAAATGAAGTACAACAAAAAGGTGCTCACTAATAGAGACCAAGAAGTCCACTTATCCAATTTGATGCATCCGTCCGAGCACAGAACAATTTAAGGCCAATTGAGTCTAGAGTAGGACAAAAAAAAAAAAAAATCCGAGTTCGAACTGATTGGATTTAGTGCAATACCGATAAGCACTCAAGTTAACCACCATAGAAAGCCGAGTACTAAAGACACCGTTCTAAATCTCGGTAGATCCGACAGGAGGAAAAAATTTTATTCCTAAGCATCATTAATCATCCCACGGACTTCCCCTAGGTTTCTCATCAGAGACAAAAAATTGAGAATACAAGAGAGTCTCACAATCATCCAGCCTCTCGTCAAAAAACTAGCTTTCTATTTCTGCATATAAAAATACACATAACTTCATTTTATTTATATAACCTTATTAATCTTCCGCGTCATAAAAAAGTAACATTACATTAACTTCTAAAAAGTGAAACACATCTTTTCACGAATATGTTGAATTACATTGTCATTGTCTTATCCAAATCTTTATTATTATTTTTTTCACATAGTTCAAATTATGTTTTAAGCTTTGTCGAAGGCATGATCGAAAATCATTGAAATAATGATTAAATATTATGACGTAAATAAGAATCGAAGGTGTTCGATTCTGATTTAAACAGATTCTTTGTTGCATTTATATTGTAACAACGACTGAAACACACTATTTGATACTTTATTTAGCCCTGCCATCGAATTTCATTGAAAAGCCCAACTTCGTCAAATTTGAAGAGGCATATGAAGTCTAATTATTTTTAGAGTTTGTATGGATTTTCTTTTATTTTTTTTTTATTTTTATTTTCTACTTTTATTATAAAAATATGATTGTTTAGTGAATTTTTTGCATGATTTTATTTCTTATTTTTGAAAAAAAAAATTAAATTATTTTAAAAGCTCTTAAAACATCTAAAATTTATTTAAATTATTAAAAAAAACTTTTAAAATAGTTTTTTCATGTATTTTTTAAAATTTTTAAAAATAATTTAACTTATCTATACAAATAGTCAAAATATTTAAAATTTATTTTATTTACTTTTAAAAATAACTAAACAGATTATGTCATATCAAATATATTTTATTTTAAGTTAAAACATAAACAAAATAACATAAAAATTTCTAATATATATATATATATATATATATATAAGTTTTGATAAACCCACGAATCTCCATTTTGGACAAGGCTTTTGCCAAATCAGAAAGTGGAACAAGTCAGTCCACGGAGTTCTTCCCGCCCTTCTATTTATCTGAGTGAACGACCCATCGCAAGGGAGAGAGAGTCAGAAAGAGGAAGAAGAGAAATACAAGCCTAAGCGCCATGATGATCCTGCAACCGACGCGGTGGATCGTAGCCGTCGTTATGACATTTCTACTACTTGGGGCCTTCTTGTTCTCCGATCTCATCTGTCATAGCTCTGAAAATTACATGTACCAGCCTAACTAACCCCTTAATTTTCATTTTTTTCTTTTCATTCAGCATATTTGAGTTTTGCTTCAGTATTTTTGGAAATTGCATTCAAATTCTTCATTATGATCTTTTATACACAGAGAGAGAGAGAGAGAGAGAGAGAGTATAAATTTGAGAGATTAAAAAAAAAAACGCGATTAAAATTGTTAATATAATTATTTTTAGTTATCCTTCCAACAATCCATTGCTTTCATCCTTAATTATAAAATCAGCTAATAAAATTCAACTCTCTATACTTTTCTAAACTATTTTTTTTGGAAAATAATCTAAACCAATTGCTTCAAGTATAGAAATTCCACTAATCCGTCTGATTTTGTCGTTATTACCTTAATTAAATTATAACTGCTATAACCTAAATTATCTATTATCACACATCTTTTCTCAAATTCATCAGTTCATTTAATTAAATTTGACATCGAGAGCTAAAACACTAAATATACATTAAATCTAAACTTTGATTCAAAATATTGAAACTGAGCGCATGAGTTCTTCAAGATCAAAATTGCTTCCGTTTTGTTTAAATGGCCAAAAAAATGCTTAAAATAAAATTTTTTATCCACATAGATTACGATTTTTATTTTAATTTAAAACTATTTTTAGAGATAAATTTTGTTCAAAATTCTGAATCTCATTCATTCAAATTACCGTTCAAGATTTTATTATATTTTGATTATATCAATTCAATTAATATAATCAAAATATAATAAAATCAATACAATCAAAACACAATAAAATTTACATGCACTAATTCTGCACGTAATGATTGCTATCTTCCAGCAGAGCCCTGAATCCACCGGCGCTGCGCCAAACCAACCGCCCTCTCAGCTCCATCCCCATTATCCCCCAACCCTCCTCCGACGAGCTCCGCTCCGCTCTCCTCCACTACGCCACCTCCACAATCGTTCCACAACAAACCCTCTCCGAGATCCGCATCTCCTCCGACGTCCTCCGCCGCCGCTCCCCCTGCAACTTTCTCGTCTTCGGTCTCGGTCACGATTCCCCCATGTGGTCCGCATTCAACTCAGGTGGAACCACCCTCTTCCTCGAAGAAGACCCCTCCTGGTTCCAAACCGTGCTCCGCAAGTCCCCTTTCCTCCGCGCCCACTACGTCAAATACTCAACAAAGCTATCGGAAGCCGATGAATTAATGAAATCGTATCTTCATGAGCCGGAATGCCTGCCGCCGCACGCTAGGTTGAGGGATAATTGGAGGTGCCAGCTCGCGCTTGCAGATCTGCCAGATGAAGTTTACAGGAGAGAGTGGGATTTGATCATGATTGATGCTCCGAAAGGGTATTTTGCGGAGGCGCCGGGGAGGATGGGGGCGATTTACTCGGCGGCGGTGATGGCGAGGGGGAGGAAGGGGGAGGGGTTTACCGATGTGTTTTTGCACGATGTGGATCGGAAGGTGGAGAAGAAGTTTGCGATGGAGTTTTTGTGTAAGAAGAACTTGGTCGGGGTAAGCGGCCGGCTATGGCATTTCCGTATCCCGCCGGCGAGGGGTAATGAGACCGCCGGGATGTTTTGCTGATTGATGATGAAGATGGGGAGTACTTCTGTTTGCTTGGTTTTTTTTTTCTTTTTTTTTTTATTTTGGGTGCGTGAGTATAAAATTTGGCATTGCTCATTGGATCTGAAAAGAACTACAAAAGTTATTTTATTAATGGAAAATTGACTCTATGAATATTATAATGGCAGTCATTGGAGAAAAATCCTTCACAAATTATTTGATTAGAGACATGACTAAAATTCATTCGAGAAAAAATTAGCCCTAATGGCAAGAGAACTTATTTCATGCGGCAATTACATGTTCAGATGATGATCTTGATGAGGAGTAGTGTAATCTACGGTGGTATGACCATACTATATAATAGTTTTTCCAATTCGATTAGTCTGTTTATTCATGGATTGCTCATTGGGCTAAGAGACATTCAAAATTGGCTCAAAATAGTTAGAATTCAAGCCACGTTTTGAACCTCGAAGAATAAGTGTTGATCTTAATTTGAGTATTTTTTGAATGGCTTGTTCAAATCATAGGAAAAACATCACACTATTTTCGAATGTCCTAAGTTGCACAATTTTGAACAAAGGGTGGGTTAAAACATTGTGTTCACTTATGTGGCATCGTTTCATAAACCACTCTTTTCATTCACTTGCCACTAGTTTGGCAAAAGCATCCATCATTAGGACCCATTGTAAATCTTGTTCCTACCTCCCCTTGATGAACCATGCCGATGCTTTCCCATAACAAGCTTCATCTATGCCTTATTCCAACAAACTTAATCAAAGCTTTTCGTAGTGAGCTCTCGAACAGAACAAGATTGAGATTATGAGAAAGCAATATTATGAATTCACACAAATATCGATAAATTTGATAATTTTATTATTACATATTTCTTAGTTTAATTTAAATGAATTTATGAGTTGTTTAAATTGATAATCACTTAGTTAAGAATAATGAGATTCATTTATGTATCAAGCCTTTCTTAATTAAGTAATTTTGTTATAGCTAAGTTTATATAATTTTAAATATAGCAGTAAAATAAAATAATAATTAATATTTATTCCGTTTGATTCCTAGAATTATTAGATACAATTTGATAGATTACATGATATAATTTTAATTAAAATTAAAGTTATTATATTTTTTAATATTTTAAGCTAAAGTTGGTTAGTGTAAGAAATTAATTTGAAAGATATTTAATTAATAGATAGAGTCCCATTGTTTCGCCGTTTTAAATTGCTTAGAGAGCATTTAAGGAAAATGTTTATGCACTTCAGCCATACTCTTAGAGATTATAAATAGATATTTTGATGACTAAGATGTGGAAAGAAAAGCATTTAAGAACTTCTGATAGTTCATCTCCCTAAAATCTTCCTCAAAGCATCATATTTTTTAGGGGCAAAAAAAAATTATGGAGTGATATAAATAGCTCCAAAAAATATTCATCATACATATTCACACAATATATAAATAGTTTTGTAGTTGTTTGAAGGATTGTCAAGTCTTTAAGATCTTGCTTGTAAAAGTATTAGGGGTTTTTATTTTCTCTTATATTCAATTAGATTAAAAAGTGAGAAGTAAGTATTCTCTTAATTTCTCTTACAAAGTTTTAAAATAGCTTTGTAAACAAGATTTAATATTTTTTTTAAAATTTATATTGAAAAAAGCTATTATTGTGAAGAATGAGCATTGCTTGTAGTGCTTGCTTTGTCATATCATTTAGGAAATGTTATGACACTAAAATTTAAATAGTGGAACTCCAGATAGTGGAAGTCTAAGGGGCTGTCTGGTAATAATTTTAGTAAATCATGTAAATCCAAATTTATTAAAACATATCAATGCCATGATTGAATAAATCGGGGTTTTAAGACAACTAAGAGGAATTGAGAAGAAATTTGACTTACTAAATCCAATATTTAAACTTTTCTCTAATTATGTAGATGATTTAAGTCAAATCCCTTTTAAATTTGTTACTAAACTGCCTCGAAGTGAGGACATCACTAGGGGCCATATACTTTTTTTTTTTTGTATATCTCTTAATAGTCACTTGATATTGTTACTTTTTTTGTAAATCAATTATTATAACTTACCAATATCAAGATTTAATAAATCTGGCTTTTAAGATAAAAATGAGAAGAATTGAGAAGAAATTACATTTATTAAATTCAGTTTTAAATTTTCTCTATTTTTGTTGTAAGGCAAATTTAAGCGAAATCTGACTTAAATCTGTTACTATATCCCTAAGTGAGGACATTGTTTAATAGTGTCTCTTACTAGTTGTTGGTTTTATAATTTTCTTTATTTTTTTATAAATCAAAATTTTGTTGTGCCAAATATTTCATATATAAAATTTATTTTGTTAGTTATTGCATGGAATTTTCATTAAATTATTTTATATTCACATTAATTTATTTTAAATCATAAATAAAATTTAAAAATAATGAAATAAAATTGAAAGTCAAAATTTTGAGACTCAAAAAAAAAAAATTTGTACTCTTATTATTGACAATGCAAAAATGTAATGTATTGGGATAACACATCTCTGTTAATCAAAGGCAGGATAAATTGAAAGTCATGAACAAAGCAACAGAGAATGCTCAAAGAGGTTCCCATGAATGGTTGAGGTGCCCCTTTTCTTAGAAGTAAAGATGGCAAGATTTAGAGACAACATTTATCATAGTATAAGAAGGCAATTGAAGTCAGCTAATAATGACCAAGCACTTTATATAATTATTGGTGCGCCCTATATATCATTGTTTGTACGCCTAACGATCATATTCCCTTAATCACCCACAAATTTTTTGGTTATTTGCTAATGGTATACATTGTTTGATTAAGGGAGTATGATTGGAAGTATAATAATCAGTTTTATTCATAGTATGGTGATTGTATGACTCACTAATGGTACAGGAAGGATGCTTCATGAACATTCGTGTAATTGATTAGAATTGTGGGTGGTTATTAGAGTTATACAATTTTTCATGATTTTAAGTTTTAAAATTATAATACAAGAAAATTTTAAGTAAATTGAGAATTTTTTTAATTTTATTTTGGAGAAAGACTTTCGATCCTTATCAGGTATGTTAATATATTTATAATTTTAAACAATAATAGATGAAAGAAATGTCACTCGTCCTTAGTAAATAATAAAAAAGAAACTAGAGAATCCCATATTAGTAGGCCAAATCTATTCACCTATATTTGAGTCAAGGCAATCATTAGTTGATGACAAAAAGTGGAGTAATGCGATTGGTACTAGTAATGTCTCTTAATAGTGAACACAATTTGCCACTTTGTTAATTTTATAACATAAATCAAGTGAAGTTAGATTGAAAACTCGATAATCAAATTGAATATTGAAAAAAAAAATTGAGAAGATATCCGAATCAAATTTAGGGCCATAAAAAGTTATATCAACACATAATTATTTATTAAAATATTTGTTTTTATAGACCAATCATATCTCAAAAATAACTCATGTAATAGGGGCTTGCAAAGAATGGGCACATTTTATTTTAATTAGAAACTATAAATGTGTTGTTTATGGAGAGATTCTTGATTGAGCTGCCCCTTAGTTTGCAAAAGTTGTGGTAACTATCACTTACTCTATGATTGTTATCCTTCTCACATATGGGATGTAATAGGGGCTTGCAGAGAATGGACACATTTTATTTGTTGAATTTGTAATTTTTGCCTTGAATTATATTAACTTGAATTTTTATCTATTTTTTATTCCTAATCAAATCCTACATGCTTTCTGAATTACAGAAAGCAAGCTTTAAAAGAAGTGGGTTTCAAGGGGAAAAAAGTAATCTAAGAAGCACTAGATAAAAAGTTCCATGATAGAAATAGTGCCAAGAAGGTTGCTCCAAATCTAGAGGTGTTCAAGCACCCTCTATACCATTTGGTTTCGTCATGTAGTGATAACAGAAAAGTATATGAATATTGTAACAAGTAAAGTTTTGATCTTTGCACTTAATTGCCAACTATATCTCTAATACTTACTTTTCTCATATTGCCCAATTCTCTCCTCTATCAGAATACTAACCCTAATTTCTCCTCAATGTTATTAATTATTATTTGACTTCTTAATTTTCCCTAGGATATACTAATAACTCCATCATCACTCTTATTTGCCCCTTTAACATCTTCTGTCTCATAACTTCCTCTCTCATTACTAAAGACAACCTTTATTTTTAAGATTAGCAGATTATTCCATAAAGAGTTAATAATAAAATAAATTCTTTATTAAAAATTAAGGCAAAAATTTTGAAAATTTTTATTTATATTTAAATATTGAGAAAAAAAAGAAATTTTATTTATTTATTGAAAACTATTTATTAATTTAAAGGAAACTTTCATACATAGCACAAAATTTTTATGTATTTAAATATATAACTCCCAAAGTTCAATAATTACATTTATAATATTTTGATGTTCTAAACCTATGCATTAGAAATTATACTTCATTTTTTTTAAAAAATAATGATGGTAATATTTTGATGTGATGTTAAAGATTTGAGATTGATGCGTGTAAATATCAATGTTGAGGTTTTAGATATATAAATATCTACGAACCCTTCATCTCCCAGTAACACTGAATTAGCCGGCTCAAGCACGTGTCATTTTCTCTAATAATTGACAGGGAAGCTATTTTTTTTCTTATAATTTTTTTAATCACCTTGATTCACCGGTATTAATTTTATAGTTTTACTAATCTTGCATATAATAATTTTAATTTCTTTTAATTGATGATATGATGAGTCTAATAATTAGGTTAAGAAAAAACAAAAAAAAAAGAAAAAAGTCTAATAATTAGGTGAGAATTAGATATCTGAATCGTCATGAATAAATTAGTTTTATGATATTTCAAAGTTTTTTTGATTATTATTTTTTGCTAACAAGTGTATCCATATGATCTTATATAAATTGAATTAATAATCAAAAGTATATATTTTAATGATGGGCAATCTGTGTGATCCGAACCTATGATCTCACTGTAGAAAATTATACGCGCAGCCACTATATTACATGTAAATGCACATCAACATATAAATGCACATCATAA